TGAAATCCATGTGAAATCCAAGTGGAATCCATATGAAATCCAAATGAAATCCTTGTGAAATCCTTGTGAAATCCATATGAAATCCATATGAAATCCTTGTGAAATCCAAGTGAAATCCATATGAAATCCATATGAAATCCCAATGAAATCCATGTGAAATCAATGTGAAATCCAAATGAAATCCTGGTGAAATCCTTTCCAAATGTGTGACCGAAAACGGTCGGTTACATTCATTTACGATCGTTTACGTCGTTGTAAACTGTCGTCTTCGTCAAAATACTGCCGTGTTACGGCACAGATTTTGGTGTAAACGATTGTCGTTTTTCGCCGTACACGACACGGTCTCACACGACCGTAATACGGCGCATACCAAACGGATTATTTACGGCCCGTATACGGTCGTAGTTTTGGCGGATACGGCCGTTCACGTCATCGTAAACGGCTGTGTACGGTCGTTTACGGGCACAGTAATGTTCGACCTGGGAAGTAAAGATTTATTAAATCTTTTTCATTAGCCTTAATTTCCATTGCATACGAATTGAAATAATAATAATAAAATGTAAGTATATGACATCAAATGAAATCACTGAACCTTATCGAGCAAAAACGATGACCCTACTAGCAATTCATTAGAATGATTATATGTTTTCTTGTCCTGAATATCCTTTGTTTAGAAAATTCGTCTTTAGACACTGAATACATAATGTACATGAAACTTATGGAATATATCCAGTGTCTGCGCATCAATATCATTTAACTGTTGAATTAAATCTTAAAAGAAGCGTTACTAAATACATGAATCATTGGTTTCAGAGAAATAGGCTTAAATTTGATAAAGTAATTTTACTAACGTTTTCATCATAATGCTACGTATTTATATGTAGCTCTAAGCATCCATTCGTTGAACTTCAAGAGAAAAGCCGTTTCAATAATTTCAATCGTCAAAACAAATAAAATTATTGATACGGATAATATCGCGAAACAGTTTTATTCATACACTTGATCATCGTATATCTCGGCGAAATAAAAATACGAAGCAGTTGAATTGGATATGCTGAAAGCAAAATATTGAATTAAATATGTTAGCTGTTTACATTACCATCGTACAAACACAAATTTCCATCCCATACTAGGAGAAATGAATATAACGAAAATTGTACCTTAAAGTATTGTACCTCACTTGCAAGTTCTCAAAAGGCGTGTGTCCAACAACCTTTCCAAGTTGAAAAGAAAATATCTGTCTCATTTCTAGTGCCCGAACATTTGGGAAACCCATTCAAATTTTGTCGCAAATATATGTCAATTAATTTTCGAAATATTTAATATACCTCGTCTACAAGTAGCAGCTCCAACGGTCACACATATTCAAAATTAACATCAGCTACAATAACTGACTAGTTGATAGCTCAAAATGTTTGTACATATAAACGAACAGTCGAATTATATATATATCTACATATATTATTGTATTGAAATGGTTGTCTAGTTTTTCCTTGCTGACAGTTTCTGTAAATTTGAAAATGTCATATTGTAAATTAAAGAATTGAGTGAGAAAAGTGTATAAAATAATGAAAAATTTCATGATACTCAAAAGAAGCAACTAGAATCTAATTGATACAAAAATTTATATCTCCCTTTGTTATATCATTCGTCCAAGCTATTCAAAGTATGGATGCGAGTATCCATAGGACCTTAATGGAGACGCACTCAGACCCTCGCTGATCTCCGCATCAGTTTCTTCAAGCGGTGTATAAATCGCAGTATAATTGATTTGAAAAGTAATGCAAATAAAAGCAACTTACCAGAGTCAAAATGAGTCGAGACTCTTTAAGAGAAAAGAGTCATAGAAATGACAAAAGACATGCAAAATAAGAAAAAATGGATCCTCATTTCTTTTATTCCATTCCTATTGTGCCATACGTGAGTGAAAGAGATAATTAAATGTGAATGGTAATTCAATGCATCAAAGAAATATTCATCATACTGTATCTTAGACAGATGCACTCCGAGATATTTTCTTTCAAACAGAGCTTTGTTAGAACTCATAATAATCAAAAACCAATCAGAAGCATCTGTTCAAAGTGTAACATTCGTATTATCTTGTTGAAAGATGGATGCACACAACAATGAATTTGTTGATCGCATTCGCTGATAAAACCAAGTCGTCTTCAATGTGCTAAGAGTCAAATATAAGTTCGAGACGAGTTTCACATAAGAATGTTCATTATTATTTAAAGGACGAGTTTTGTTACAAAAAGATGCTGACCTTATGGAATTCTTTCAGAATATCCAAAGTGTTAGACATTGAAAGTATAAAAAGTCGGTAAATTCATTCAGAATCTTATATACTCTTGAAATTTCAATAAGTTTCCTTTCAAGAGATAAATAATTAGGTGTCCAACATGAAAATGTCAATTTATGAAATGGCCGGGCTTGTAAGAAAAGTGTACTTTTCTAGAGTGGCTCGAAAAAGAATGAGTGAGATCAAACGCAAAGTAGGATGTTACTACTCAATGTGCATCGCTCGTCTCTCATTTCTCTTCATTTGTGCATCTGTAGACTAATTGTTTTCACATGGCCATATCTGTTAATCACTGTTGGCCATCTTTCTTAATATCAATTATGAATTTTTACAATACATCAGTACTCGTTTTACGGACTTTCCATCATGGCCATCTGGCGGTTGGGTTTCGTTGTACAAGTCTACACATCGTTTTGGAAAGTATTTTGTGAAACTAAATTCCTCTAAGCTCTTTATTTATCGAAGCTATTCAATTGATTTGATTGCATAGAAGAAATATCACCGGAAGACTTTTCTTTGTAAGAGGAAAGTCACAAGTATTTCTCATAGCTGTTAACTTTCACTGAAATAGAGAATTCCAATATTCTGTTCTTTTCCATAACATTATAGCATATTGTTGTTTTCTGGCGTTGTCATCATTGCAACAATCCGATTTTTTCAATCGTTCACCTTTTGCATTATTATTTTATTAATGTATTAGTATAGTGGTTTCTAAGGTGTCGAAAATAGAAAATCCAAGTAGAATTATGTATCTCTTCTTTATATATGATTAGAAAAAGTGTGGCAAGCTGGCTAAAAATACTTATATGGTTTTTTAACTTCTTTTGGAATAAGCTTTTAGGAAAATATTTTCAGTTTTTATAAAATAATCCGTTTTTTTTGAACAAGCTGGTCAACTGCTGATAACAAACAAATTTTTCAATGTTTTTATTTCATTCAAATTTCAAAACTTGTTCTGTCAGATTCAGCATGAGCAGCTAAACATAGGCGATTCATCTCAATTATACATAATTCTATTTAATTGAGAGTGTGACTCAAGAGAAAAGAACCACAGTCAGATCTACTGTTACACTCCGGGCGCATCCCCACACCTACTTCCCCACACTCTAAGTCTTTCAAAGATATGGATTTCACTAATATATTTGAAGCTGAACAATCGAGATAATTCAACAAATTGTGACTCATTTTCGATTCAATAATATTTGACACTTTTATTTTGATTGTGACAATGCTTATCAGACACTAATAGATAGTCTCTGAATCCAATCAATATTATTGTCTTCAGCTAGAAAATCGATGGTAAAGGCTAACAAGCTTGGATACTTGGCATCATAATGAACATCATTATTGTGATAGGGTTCGTCGTGACATTCATGGTCAATGAACACGAGCTTCGTGTGTTCGCCTCCGATGTCTTTCAAATTCCGTCGCAAATCGTCGACAAACACTATCGGACGCAATTCTTCAATCGTTTGTTTCTTCGGATTGTTGGTTGGATCGATTGGATCATATCCTGTGCTGATCACCTTGTCGATAGGAAATCCATGGGAACGAAAATTCTCTAGACGATCATTGACAAATCGACCAGGCATTGAAGTGACGCATACTAATTCGTAGCCGGCATTGTGCAACATAAGACAGGCTTCCAAGGCACCATCGAGTGGTGGCATTGTTCTCCATCCTTCGGCTTCGTAGGTGGCTTTGAATTGAGCATGTTCTTCGGTTGTGAATTCGACGCCGTACAATTTTTTGGCCTAAAGTAAACAAATATAGTTACTCATCAATCTCGATATTTGTCTTAGTATTTTTCTTCGCAAGCTAGAGCTCACTCGACTATGAGCGTTGGTTTCTACTGAAGTACGATTGTCATATGCATTTCAAAAGACACAAGTGGATACAAAACTTACATTATAGGATTTGGGCGAGACAATTGTCAGTTCTTGTCCGAATGTTTTGGTATAGATTTGAGCAAATGCAGAACGGGAATCTAATAAGACACCATCACAATCCAACGCTATAATTTGTTTCATGTGTGATGACGAGAATAAATCTGTGTAACTTATTTCGGTTTGCTCTTTTTCAACTATAAAAACGACAGTAGATAAAAATATAATATTTATACCATTTCTTTCGCGTCCTGTTGCTGCTGCTAAGAATGACGTTAGTCTTCAAGTATCTTGCACAATTACCGTATTCGTGGCGAACAGAATCGAATCACATGAAATTGAGTCACAATGCAATGTGACTCGTGTCCTTCCTCAATTTAAATTACATCATTTCTGTCACCACCAATTTGTCAAAGAATACTTCCGTTTTATCGAAACACGTTAGTACTGCTTATTTTAACTGTTTCCTACACTTAGGAAGACCTGTACAACATATTTCATTTACACAAAATTATTTAGTACTGCCTGACAAAATCATATGAAAGAGCTTTTCATAGAATGTCTAAATTTACATGTGTTCTATGAAAGTGTTCTAGCCGTTCACAATTAGTAAATATTCAAATATAAGCTGCGCCAGTCTTTCAAGCATAAATAAAACATAAACAGTAAATAATCTTAAGAAGCTATTTGTCTTAATAAACTTTGTAATATATAATGAACAAATGGTTCATTGTTATCACTAAATTTTTATGCATATTCAATAGTTAATGTTAATAATAGCGATAAATAGGCAATAGAATGTAAACCATCTAATGTTGAATTATTTAATAGATATTTACGAATATTGTTCAAAAATTTTTCCAACAATTAAATGTTTTAAATCATATAAACGTTATTCATATAAAATTAAATTACTTGCGCCATCGATATTTAATTTTCTTGTTGATTTTGAATCATTTGATAGTGATGATAATGGTAGTTTTGCTGGTAATAGTTTTATTGGTGTTGATGCATTATTATTATTTATATTTTGTTATGTACCTTCATTTGTTGTTGCACTTGATTCAGATGCATGGCTACCATCATCATCATCATCTAATTTATTATTACCACTATGAGCGTGTGGGTATAGGTATGGATATCAATATCTTTTTTATCGACACCAATACCTACACTCTTATTGAGATATTCATTTAAATAGATACGTTTGTTAAAATGTACCCTCGCCTAAAGATTGGTTCAATCGAAAGCGTGCTCTAGAGAGAAAGACATAAAAGAATTCCGTACAGCTACCTCAATTTAGTAAAATTGTTTAAAACAGATTTATCTAGTAGAATGAGTTTCTTGTTAATACACGAACGAAACCAATATTCATATTTTCCGATATTCATTGATTATATCAAACTATAATTATTATAATCAGACCAAGATGTTCATGAAACTTCATTTGACAAAAAGAGGAGAAAATAAATCATTATGTACATGTATTTACTCAAAATATGGGAAAATTCATATAAATTAATTTTTATTCTTATACATATAGAAACTATAACCATTGTTCAGAGTAATTTGATATAGAAAAATTCATAACGAATTCAATTGATTAGAAGAAAATATATAGTAGTAGAAAAATGAGTAGAATTATATAGAAGAATAGTATGAATCTTATAGTAGTAAATATTCGAACCATTTCTTACTGATCATTACATTAACTCATCCTCAAGGAACTCCTTTAGTCCAATAATTGTTTTGTTTTACTTACAAAGATAATCTGTCACATTCAAAACTTAGTTCATTGTAAATGTATATAAAGCAAAAACAAAAATTGTGGATTTAGTCTACTTTAAACAATTAATTCTCATTGTGATTTCAATAAAGAATACTTGTATGATGAATTAGATAATTCACAAATCAACTGAATAGAACCAATTATTATAAACTATTTCTATCTTTATTTAAGAAAGAAAAATTCGAATACATGTACAGTAAGTGTTGCTATTTGAAAACTGCTTTTCTTTGGTTCTAATTTTTTTTTTGAATGTATCAGTTTTCTCATAAGTGCTATTTCAACTAACAGTTGTTGGTGTACTAGATGTGAGCGAGGGTTATATGTATTAGTTCTAGTCTTCTCTTTACTCGCACGCACACTCACTTATTCTTTTCGTGGATTTTTTTTGGAATATTTTTATTCTATCGAAGTAAACAGCATTAGACAATATAACGAAATTCGGCTTATGAACAGTTTGTCGATATTTTCTTTTCGAAAAGAAGATATCAAACACAGGATTAGTCAAAGTAAACTAATTTTTATCTCTAGTCAGTGCTATTGATCTTTCAAAGGCTGGTATGACAAACATATATATCGCTAGTACCAAATCATAATTAAGTAGTTCGCATCACTAAATCTGAACTGGTTCTCAATGGAGAACGTCTATCTGCGTCTCCCGCCTCGAAAGGGTTAAATAATTTTTAAACTTCTTTTTCTATTGTTTTCATCCAAAAGAGAGTTTTTTTTTAAATAGACTACAAGTACTAGTCCATCATCATCATTTAGTAATGTAATGAAAAGAATCATTGAACGATTACGTGCAAAACTAGATAATAATTTACTTCAACAATCAAAATGATTAAATGCAACAACAGTAAATGTGACAAGATTAGAAAAGTATTTAAAACAAAATATACAACTATTCTTCTATCGAATTTATTCAAAAAAAAATTATTTTTTTTTTGTAGAAACCAATATTTAGTTTTTATTATTGAAAAGTGATCTTGAAGTTCTTTGTGATGATATAAAATGAAATAATTTGAGTTTGAATTAATTTATTGTTTATTTAAATGAAAACAAAACTTTATCATTTTAATGTTATTTTAAAGATGTGAGTGGATAAATATCGCCGATTAAGTTCGACTTTGAGAGCACAGCTTCACAGGCCAAGCGATTAAAAAATCAACGCTTAGTCTGCGAAACAGTGACCTCATGTCTCACATTTATTCTATCACACTCACAATATTTAATCAGATCATATCAAATATTTATTTGATAGAAGTTTCAAAACACTATTCGGTGATTATATGTTATGTATCGATTTAAATCAAATTTTGAACCGTCATTTTCGATAACACGTGGTTGAACCGTTGAATATGTGTGTGTGTTATCCTCTCATTGTATAAATATATAATGCCAAACGAAAAGACAAACATTGAAAACCATCTTATTTTTCTTAAAGAAAAGATAGCTGAAAAAATTCCGATGTTACTCGTTCATGTTTAGTTTCATGTGTGAAGAAACGTATTTATATCATCTTGTCAATACTCAAAATGAAGTTACTAAAGAAATAGGAAAATATAGCTATTCATAATTGACAACAACAACAGTTTGAATCATCACCTTCATTTGCACTTATTGAAGAATATGAACGTCATTATCTTTCGGTTTTTTTACTAATTATCTCTGATAAATATGTTTGTTAAAAAGATTTACTTTGATATGTTTTATGCTGATCCCAAAATTGAAGTTTAATTTTCCCACACTTCACTATCTAGATGAAATTACTGCTGAAAAGCATAGACAAAAGAGAAATACATACATTTTCGTACTTGATTTTTCTGATATTTTTATTTCTCGACTAGTTATATGTATAAATATCTGATAGAAAGCAATTTTAAAAGATAAATTTCTTCAAAAATGTCAATTATAATAAAACTCTGTATGTATGAACATACTTTTCATTGTTTTCTATGACCAATATTAATTGACCAGGTATTTCGTCTATTATTTTTGCACATCTTTCTTTTGAAAATGACTTTCATTTTTATGCATCCACATTCTCTTTTTATTTATGGCTGAAAATTATGAAATTGAATTCATAGGAAAAGATGTACCTGTAAGATGAAATGATAACTTTATTAAGAATAATTAGATTTATAATATCAGTGAGGAGAAAATATAACGAGTGTCCAAGAATAAATGAAACTCTTAGTACTTAATCAACATTTCTGTCAATGTCCATTACTTCGACTTGAGTTTTGTATCAAATGATTCCTTATTCAAATCATTACCAGTCCGTGAAAACATGTCACTATAAAAAAAAAAACTAACAATTAAACATGCTGAGCTAAAGACTGTAAGACATGTACACAACGTATTTTATAACACTATTTGGTCGTGTTCCATTCTTTTAGCTGTTGAGTATGCTTGATGTGCAATCAAGTTTCCATTTATGTAGAGATTTCGAAAGTTTCGATTAAAAAAATTGGCGTCACATTGTAAAACTTCTATACTTACATCCTATACTAATTATTTTCGTTCAAATATTGGTGTCAGTGTAAAAACAAATGACTTGTATACCAAACCTACATAATGATCTGGTATGAAATGAGCATAGGAATTTCACCGGTTTCACATTGTTCTATAATAGAATTTGACATGTGTGCATTACTATGCTTTTCTAACAGTTTTATCTAAAGATGGTGATAAAAAGTATACCTGAAAATTAAGATGAGCATAACTAAACACGTATATAATTAGAGAGAAAAGAAAACTAGTTGTTCAAAGTAAATAGTATTACCAGATCTGTCACTTCAGCGCTAAGTCTTCGTAGAGAATGCTACGAGAAATCTTTTGATAAGGAAATTACTGTCAAAGTAATGAATGTTGACAGAGATATTGATAAAATATTAAGAGAACGATTTATTATTGGACAATTGAAAATATATGTAAAATACAGATCACTGCTGATTTTTAATTTTTAATTGATAAGATCACAAAAACCTGGTCGTACAAAAATACACAATAAGAATGTTTAGATGTTTCTTTTTTTTTGTTATAAATAACTAATCATTCTACACCCATGTTTATTATCTATTTATATAGATATTTCATAAATATGTTTCAATTTTTGGTGGTAGTCTCTTTGGATGTTCAATTGTATTTGTAATGGATGTACTAGGCTTCATATTTAAATTCAATATTTCTTCATTTGATTGTTTATTTTCAAGTATATTTGGGGAATCTTCATCAACAAATATCATATTTACTTTATCACTTATTTCAATTTGTTCATCATTAACTTTGGATAAATCTGTTATTTTTGTTGGTCGTGTTGTGGTTGTTGTTGTTGAACGTCTTTGTTTTACTGATGATAGTGATGAACTATCTGTTAATGATTCTGCTCTAGACATTTGACGTTGATGATAAGTATTTGATGATAATATTGGTGATGAACTTTGATGTTTTTGTATTGTTGTTGTTGTTGTTGATGGTGATACTTGATCATGTAAATTAGGATGATGGTTTTCTTTATGTCGTCGAAATTTTTCTTTATGTGGACTATCATTTATTGATATTACATCATTATTTTCAATAACATTATCAGTTAATAAAGCTTGTTCAAAACGAGCTTGTTGTTTACGTCTAGCTACTTCATTCATCATACCTTCTGCTAAACTATTTAAAGTTTCTAAACGTAATAAATTAAGATCAACATCTTGAAATTTTTGTTGACGATATACATCCGATTGACGATGAACATATAATGCAACAATATCACATATAAATGTTGCTAAACCAAGTATACCAATTAATGAACCAATATTTAAACTTAATGCTATGACATCAAAACGGCCAGCAAGACCACTGACCTATGATAAAAGCATTATTTATTTTAGTATATTCATCTGCATACTTGAAAAAGATTGTTGGCAATGAATACACTATTACAGTTGTTAATCGATGTAAAATTATCAGAGGAATTAGAAATTTCAAATATTTTAACTTTGTTGATTTGAGTCAATTCGACAAATAAAAATATGAAAATATATTAATTATAAGTAAATGTATTTTTGATCATGAAAGTTTTTGAGGAATGGTGGAATAACAACTTGATTGTTTCTCGAGCATTAGTATTAAGTTGAAGCCTTTCCTCCTACAGTACTATGTTTGTATAATTTTATTCTACATGCCTCAAGCTACTCGTTCGTCGATGGTCTATGTATTCTACTTGCATACCCAGATGTTTAGATTTTGAGAACCATTGCTCGTAACTTATGTTATTTGTGCTCATTGATTTATGCTGTAATATGCTTATGCTTTACTTTAATTACTTTCTTTCTGTAT